TAAATCTCAAAATAAACAATACCCAAATTTGTAACAAATTAGATGGCAAATTCCTTGGCATTCTCATTGACCACAAGCTGAATTTCCAGGGACACATTCAAAATATATCAAAAAAAGTTTCAAAAACTGTTGGCATTCTTTCTAAGATCAGATATTATGTACCCCGCCCTGCCCTGGTGACTCTCTATTACTCCCTCATCTATCCATATCTCAACTATGGTATTTGTGCTTGGGGTTCTACTACCCAAAATCATTTACGTCCTCTAATTACCCAACACAAAGCTGCTATTAGGACAATATCCAACTCTGGCCCCAGACTTCACTCGGTATCCCTACTCAAATCTCTGAATATGTTAGATATTAAGTCACTGCACATTCTCTCATGTGTATTATACATATATAAAACGCTGAACTGTAATGCCAATCCTGACCTCAAAAGCTTCATAGAAGGTTGTAACAGAACCCATGAGCACCACACCAGAAATAAATACAGTTTTGATATTCCAAGAGTACGACTTAATCAAACTAGAAATGCTCCACAAATCAAGGGACCCAGAATGTGGAATGACCTTCCCAACCATGTTAAAGACTGTACCTCTCTCAACCAGTTTAAGATAAAAACGAAGCTATACCTAATAAATTCCCTGTAACCTACCTTACCCCTCTATTGTCAACCCATGTCTGTTTTTTTTAAACGACGCTGTTTGTCGACCTAATTGTATTTGTGCTGCTTTTTCAGCCATGTTCCCCCTTTTTATCTCTTTTTTTTTATTTGTTCTAAACTCATTTTATTCTTTATGCTCAATTAGTATTAAGCTTTAGTCATTTAAGTTTTTCATGCCCGAAACGCTTTGCATAATAGTGGCTTTAGGCATTGTATGTACTAGCCCTATCTATAAATCCATCATTCTTTGTAAAATCTCTTGTATGTATGTACCTTACCTAAATAAACATTTATTTATTTATTTATTTATTATTTACTTTGTGGCATGTCTTTGCACCTTTTCTAGTTTGTTGATGTGCTTCTTAAGATATGGGCACCGTACAACTGATGCAGATTCCAGCATTGGTCTAACAAAAGTTGTGAACAATTTCTTGAGTATTACAATTTCTTGAGTATATCAGAAAAATGTATAATTCTGTGAAGAAAAAACCAGCATAGTATGTAATGAAACGCCATTTTCTGGGCGAGTCCTGGAGGCTTCCCAGAGCTGTCCAGGCTGAATGGATATGTATAACTTTCTGCCATTAGTCAATGCACGGAGTTCTTGCCTACTGGGGACCATGTACCAGAACCTGGCCCCCCTAAAGAGAGGCACGAGGAGCAATGGCCTACAGAAACCCCCGTGTGGTTGGGAGCATTCTATGTCTGCTATCGACCAGATCTGGCACCCAGAAAGGAAGGCACCCCAAAAACCCCAATTCTGGTGAAACTATTGCTACCAAAAGGCAAATGAGTGGACAGAACTCCTAAACGAAAATTAGCAAATAAACATGACGTCACACGTTGCCGCACTGCTGTCTACATAGCTTCCCCCTCCCCGGGAGGGAAAAGGGGAGCCCCAGACCCCCGCGCCGGCTATCCACCTTTCAGTTCTGAGGATGGATGGATGTCAAAACATGCGAAAAACCGCCGACCAGAGGGAGGGAGGGATGCCAGGGAGCCTCCGGGTCTCACCAAGAAAATGCCGTTGCATTACATTCAACGCTGGTTTTCTAGGGGGAGTCCCGTCGGCTTCCCGGGGCTAGCTACCCACAGAGGAAAATGAGAGGGTATTTACCCGGGAGGCAGTCGCTGCTCACTCCTCAACTCCAAGTCGAGACAACTGGCTGCAACTGCCGACCCAACGCGACACAGGCCCAACTAGGCCCAGGAACGTTAACGAGATAATGAGCAGCTAGGACCCTGTCCGACCGCCAAAATCCCCACGCCCGAATGTCAGCCCAGGACATGTTGCCATAGACGGCGGCAAGAGCAGTGAACTTGCGAACGTCATAGGCACAGGGATAGACCGCAGGCTGGCTAGTCTTAATAATCCTGCGGACGACCTGGGAGACGCGCACCCGCGAACAGGAAAGAATGGAAACCGGATCAACCCCAAGCTCTTCCCTGGACACAGAAGCCGTGGTGTGCAAATAACGGCGGAGGGTCGCAACCGGACACAAAACATGATCCCCCCCTCCCCTCGGCCTAATCAACCAAGCATCAACAACCAACGGACCCCTCCGGAAAGCAGCAGTCTCATTCTTTGGAAGAAAAAAATGGAGACTGCTGCAGACGAACTTACCAAGGGAGAGGACTACTCTCCCTTGGTAAGTCTCCAAGCAAGTCAGGACCTAGAGCAACAGCTGAACCGGGAAAAAAGAGGTACAGGAAACCCCACCTTGACCAGTCCTGCCGAAAGGCATCGACCCCGACGGCCCGCAGTCGGAGATGGGCGCTACATACGGGGGAAGGCGCAGTGACCACGCCTGACACGAAGAGGTCCACCTCGGGGCGCCCAAACGTCTGGCAAAGCCAATGGAAGGAGTCGGAGTCGGTGTCGACTGTCCATTCTGTGGAAATGGGAACGAAACGCGACAGACCGTCGGCCAAGACATTGGACACTTCCCGCACGTGAACAGCCAGGAGAGCTAAACCCCGAGAACTCAGCAGACGAGTCACCCAAAGCAACCAGCTGCAAAGACCCAAGGACCGCATCGAACCCCCACGGTTCAGGCAATGAACCACCAGGGAACAGTCATAATGGGGCCGGACCATAGATCCGCGAGAGAGTCGAATTCTCCGGAGTGACATCCACACAGCCGCGAACTCCTGCACCGTGCTGTGAGCCCGACGGAGGGACAGAACCCACTGCCCCTGGCTGGCCTGGTGAGCAAGCACTAGTCACATAGCCCCAGCCAAGAGACATGTCTGTGAACACATCGAGCAAGGGCATGGGTAGGCGCCAAGGCACCGAACCCCGAAAAACACAAAGAGGAAGCTTGCAACGCAGCAACCGACGCAATGCCCCCGGAGACCGAACCCAGCTGTCGCGAGAGAGTCGGAAGGGATGTCCCCGAAGGAACCAGAAGAGCCGACGAGGCCACACCTGACCCGGCGGGTAGACCATTATGGCAAAGTTCAGGCTCCTGCACAAACCCTCGAGCAACCGCCACGTTACCCGGGAGCCCCTCAGAAACAGACAGAGGCAGGAACGCAGATGAAGCTGAACCGCCAGAGAAAGAAACAAGGTAGCAGTCTGAGCGTTCCACATAAGCCCCAGCCAAGACCAAACCTGAGAGGGAACCAGATGGGACTTCTGCCAGTTCACCAAAAACCCGAACCTGGCGCGCTGGGAAAGGACCAAATCCTTGGCGAGCAGACACGCAGACAGGCTGGTAGCCCAAACCAACCAGTCGTCGAGGTACGCCAGAACCCGAATACCTAACAGACGCAAGCGGGCCACCATGACCCGAGTAATGAGAGTGAAAACGCGAGGCGCCAGAATCAAGCCGAATGGAAGGCAACGAAAGCGGTAACCTCGACGTCCCACCACAAAACCGAGCCATGCCCTGAACTGCTGATGAATCCGGACGTGGCAATACGCGTCCTGGAGGTCCAGAGACACCATCCAAGCGCCTGGCTCTAACGGAAGACGGACCTGGAACAGTAGTCATATACTCTGAAAGGAGAGGCAATAAACCCATGGTTTCAGACGAGACAATTCCACAATGAACCGGAGGTCTGTGCAGTTCCATTTTGAGACTGGAAACAGGCAGGAGATCTACCCGAGGGACGAGGACATTTCGACCACGCCCAAGCGAACCCACTCCGAGACGACTTGACAGAGCGCTAGAGAAGAGGCTTGCCCTGCCAGCCCTGACCCCCCCCCCCCTGAAGGAGGAAGAGCCACCCCAACACCACAGGCCACACGAAACGACCCGAAAGGCCCACGAATCGTGGGACTGGGCACGAGCAACCAGAGTAGACCTAACCCATCAAAGGGACGAAACGCGAAAGAGCCAACACACCTTACGAGCACCTAAACGGCTCAAAGGGCAATCCCCACAACGAACAGAAACAGATGGCACCGAAGGCTGCACCGGCGCCAAACCTGACACCACTGGCATACCACGAGAGAAAGAACCCAGAGCCCTGGCACGACCCCACCAGGACGCCCCCCCCCCCCAATAGGCCCCCAGAGGACCAACAATTCCGACATAGGACTGCAACAAGCCGAAGCCTGCCTGCAGACACTATCACTGCAGACTCTGCAAACAGCAACGGACAAAAGGGAAGATAATCTATGAGCCAGGGCCCAAGCAGATTCCAAGGAAGAAGCAAGCACCGCCTGCCGAAATGCGAGCCGAGAAGCAAAAATATGCGAAATTACATCCTTACATCCTGTGTGCGTCATCTTCAACAGCACAGATGACGCACACACCGCCGAAGACAACGCTTCCAAAGAGAGGCAAGGGCAGTCTGCTAACCAGGGCAACTCCAGAACTTCGTAATGAACCCAGTAAGGACATGAAGATCCATACACGAAGGAATGCAGATACATCACGCAAGCAAAATCCGGGTCGCTCAGGAGGTAAGCCACAAGAGCTTTCCACACCCACTGTGACTGGATTCAAGAAGCCGGAAACCTCCGGAAAGACGGAACCAAAGAACCATCGGAGTCAGAGAACCGAACCCAGGGAGGGATAGACGCCAAATCCAACTCATACAAGAGGTAAGCAAAACAGAACCCCACATCCCGTAACACCAAGACCCGCTACGAGGGTACAAAAACCCAAGCGAGGTCCAACGGGGCCCAAGGCAACCCCTTCCCCACCTCAGGAACCTTACCCCCGAGGATCGGGGCTGAGCCCCAGGGCACTACCAATACTTTCAGTTTTCTAATGTTTCATGGATACTTCAGCCCAAAAGCTCTGCAATAAAACATTTAATAACAAAATATGCAACTAGTGATCAATTCCTAAACAAGATCTTATTATGCAAATATGCTACTTACCTTCAGATGCATCAGAGCCAGAATCTGATGTATCCTTTGGCAGGAGATGAGCTGGCACTTCTGGTCCTGTGAGATCCTTCTTGAACCCTAACACGTTATGATAGGGAATGTCTTTAACCGTCTTCTCACCCATTTTCAGCTGCTCAAAATCACGCTCAAAGTCAATTACCTGCAAATTGACAAAAATTAAACTGTTATGAATGGCACAAAATATATATTGCATGAAAAAGATGACAAACACTCCAAGTAATTTCAACTATTTACTGTAAAACTCTTCCATGAATTTTCTTAAGCATTCTACATATGCTGGACCATATACTACATTTCTAACCCCGACTTAAGACAATTTCAGGAAAATTGCCATTTGACTCGGAGACATAACACTTTTCTTGCCATAATTTTAAAACTTTCTATCACCGTATACAAAATTTTTGAATAATAAAAGCCCATGGTGCTAATGAGAAGATCTGAAAAAACTAAACTTATTACACTGACCTGATCCAGGGTTTTAGGAATGAAGACATTCTTAAACACTTCCTCATCAACTTGCTCCTGATTAGTCATTTCCCCAACTGGTCGAGAAGAAGCCAAGGTCTTCATCTTCTCCAAATATTCGTCACGGTTTTGGGACGTTACCGTTTGATCCACAATGAAGTTGAATAACTCGTGGACAGTCATGGTAGGTACTCCCTTTTTACGGAAATATTCTAGGGGAAACAAAAGTGGTGATGTTAACCTCTACAAGAGATCAATGAAAATATCATACAGTGTGGCACTATTTCTGCACTCTATATCTGTTGTTTGACTTTTAGAACATTATGTTCTTACTGAACATGCATGATATTTCACAAAAAATCAACATTAACTTAAATTTCTATTAAATGTTAGAAATCTAAGAAAACAAAAATTAAAATTACATAAATTGAAAATGTTTGACCACTAAAGAAAAAGAAACTTGAAATACTTGAGCACTTTTGTGTCTATTTCAACATATTCTTGCAAATACATTTACTGTACTGTACAGTATATATATATATATATATATATATAAAAGTGCAGAAGTATTTCATGCATCATTTTCCTTCAAGGTTATATATTTTCACATTGTTTATCATATGTTAATTTCTTTGTCATTTACATTCATTATATAAATTGTACATCTGCTGCTACTGGTGTCTACCCTATTTCCTGTTCGTCTTGTACTCTCCAATACTTTGGGGAAACTGGCCGCATACTAAATGACAGACTTGGGGAACACAAAAGAAGTGTTAAGACTGCAGACACAAACAATGCTCTCTTCTGTCATGTTAGGAATTCTAATCATTCTATTGATTGGTCCTCTAAAATAATCTTTCCTGCCTCTACTTTTCACAGACGCCGTCACATTGACTCGGCTCTGATACACAACCTACCCAACAATAACCTTAGTCCTGGCTTGGTTGCTGTTAGCTCTTCCCTTTCACAGTACATACTCAAATGTTCTAAACTGTCTAACAAATGTGACCGAACACTAGCCTTCCCATCCTTTTTCTCATTTACTTCTATTACAGTATCCACTCAATTTAACGGCCTCTTTTATACCGATCTGCTGGTATTAACGACCGGTTTGGGAGACCGGTATCTGGAGCCTGCTATACCAGTCTGCGGTCGATATTACCGACGGTCTGTCGGTATTGGGTTTGTTGTGGCATCAGCGTCCCCTCACATGGCGACCAGGCCACCGACCTGGATCGTCCAGAGTCATATATTACATCTTAATTTTCTTTTAAAATGATTCACTTTAATGAAGAAAATTGTAAATTATTATTAATAAAATATTTTGAAACAGTTTTTATTAAGCAAAAGTCTTTGTTTTCTTATTAAATACCTTTTATAGTATAGGCACTAGGTATTTTTTTTCCCAAGGACCTAGTATGTACTCCGCCGGGCCATGTGTTCCCATTGTTTACTGTGAACTCGCGCGGCTAGCTTCAATTGTGAAGGATATTACTGTACTGTAATTGTGATCTTTTTAATTTACAAAAATGCCAAAAGTTACCCAAAGGAAGCGCCTGACGGTTGCACAGAAGCTGGAGTTAATTAAGAAACTTGTTAAAGGATATTCTCATGCACGAGCAGCAGCAGAGTTTAACATCGGGAAAAGTACAGTAAGTGACATCAAGAAACAGAAGGATACTCTATTAAAATATGCCTGAAAATAAGTGTACATACAGTATGTACCCTGTATACAATATAAACAATATAAAACAAGCGCTGCAGAAGATGACGTAATCTTCACAGCTTCGTAATCTTCAGCTTCATTAAAAGTAAGTCAATTTACCAATTTTATTATAGTATTACAAGATATTAATTGTTTTTTTTTCAACAAAAGCTACATATTAGTCTCTGCAAATGTATATTTTATCGTCAGCAGAGAATAGGTGAGCTCAAAATATTTCGTCTTGGCTAGCTCTCAGTGACAAGGCTCGATCGCCATTGTTATGGCATGGCCGCCACAGCCTGTGTTGTAACATTAGAAATACATTACCTGCACTGTTCAGGGTAAATCAAAACACATCTCTAAAATATTATTGAGAAAATATTAACTTGCTGATTGATACATGAAATATTTTGCAATACAAAGGAATGAATCAATTTTTTCCCACCCATCTGGGCTTGATCAGACCGTGTTCACACATCATCCATGCAGCAGCCAACAACTGGCTTAATCGTCGGTGTGGCACTAAATTGGAATGCAATTACACAATGAACTTTATTTAATTTTAGTTATACAGTATAAAATATATCCTACCTGAATGTTACTTGAAAAATTACCCGACCCGACTTAACTTCGGAAATAACGGAGCTCCGGAAATAACGACTAGGGCTCAGCCCCATATAGGCCGTTAAATTGAGTGGATACTGTATTACCCCCTACATACCCTTTATTACACCTATCTTTTGCCTTGCTCTTACTTTCCTCGCAGATTTCCTCCTCCTCACCTCTCTCTCTCTTGTTTTACTTATGCCCATACCTCTTGTCTCATTACAATCAACTTCATAATTGTCCAGGACGGACCAAAACGTCGTCGTCTTTTCATCTTTTTAGTGTGTGGTTTGGTCTATATTTTATGTTCTTCCTGCCAAAGTGTATAACCTTCCATCTTTAATAACAAAGTTTAACCCCTCCCCCCTTCTTCACTTAAATAACACTGTTTTTAAAGCTAAATTAGACCCATCCTACCTTATTAACTATTTTTAATGATTTTTATTATTATTATTATTATTATTATTAGTATAACTGAATTATTATTATTAATTATTATTATTATTATTATTATTATTATTATTATTATTATTGAGAAAATCGGTAGGAGTCATGAGGAGGATTCAAAGCTATGCTCTGGGTACTCCCAAGCAACGCCTTAGACCACTACACCACAACGTGGTCAAAAGCATTGCAATCTGCGATTCAACCGAATCCTCTAGGGTTCTTTAGGCTTCCACTGAAGCCTAACCAGGGTTTCACACAATGCCCCGATGCACTCTGGTTTGTTGTCTAGAAATTCTACTACCTACACTTCTTTTCAAATACAAAAAGAAATCCTATTAACATGATGTATCAATGAGAAAATTAGTAGTTGCCATGAGGAGGATTCCAGGTTGCTATGCTCTTGACCATGTCTTGGTGTTGTGATCTAAAGCATTGCTTGGGAGTACCCAGAACATAGATTCAAATTCTCCTCATGGCTTCTACTGAATATTAGTGTGTAAACAGCGCTTCTCTTAATACCAACTTGCTGAAATGTAACACACATTAGCAAAATGTTGACACACTGTACCCTCTAAATACTGGTTATTTACCACCCAAGGGAATTCACGTAAATTTGTAAATTCATACTGTACATGAAAACCGACTAACCTGTGATGTTGGTACAATCCTTTCGCAAGAAATCTAATGAATGTGGATGGTCTGGGGTGACGGACTGAGACACATCTATGATGAATGGTCGCCCCTGATGGTAGCTGTGGAAAGAAAATATATAAACCTTTAGAAATGAAGATGAAAATCATTTTCCTTACAAAGACATGGGGTCACTCCTAGTAAAGCAAGATCCTAATCATCTCCGAACTGGATTTCATTCATAGCTGCGAATACTTCGTACAAGTCAAACTGTTTTCAATATGTCATACTAATTCTTGGAAAATAGAAGAAAACTCAATCCAGCCAAGAATGCATGCACAAAAGCCCTTTCCAGAAACTCAACAGCTCATTCCAACTGTAACTTGTCATCCCATAGATTGCCAAGTTACGTCCTTGTTAATTATGGCGAGACCTCGTACAAACTATAAGCGGCTGAGCTGATTACTTGGCGCAGTAAATTTTTTTTATTCATCTGGACCCCTGAACCTGTTCTCCCAAGAGCAAATTTTCTTTTTCTTTATTTTCTGTCAAGGCCTAAAACCTGTTTTGACCTAAAACCATTGTACAACAAGAACGTGAGAACAAATGAAATCCTGTGAAAACATTGGTGGTCCAATGTTGATGTACAAAGGGATTTTGATGTGGATTCAAATTATAACTCATTTAAAATATTCTAATCAAAGCACAGGAACGTCCTATACCATACAACATGAATATATCGAATAATAATGACCAGAAATGGCTAACAAAGGATCTGAAGAACCTTATAGGTAGAAAGAGAGCTTGGTACATAAGGATTAGGAATGGGGAAGTCAGTTTAGAACAAGAATTCATCCAACTGGTTAGAAATGTTAAAAAAAAGAGAGAGAGAGAGATAAGAAGGGCAAAAGAGACTATGAAGTTCGCATAGCTGGGCAAGCAAAGACTAATATTAATATTTTTTTCAGTTATATCGAACAATGATTAGGGAAAGGATAGGTTCATTAAAAACAGAGACAGGTCAGATAATGGATAATGATAGAGATGAGCAGTATTTTGAATAAATATTTTATCTATATTTACTAAAGAGGAACTTAACGTTATGCCTTCAGTCGAACAAGTCTATGTGGGTGGAGAAGAGGACAAGTTGACTTTGTTGGTTGGTTTAGCGGTTACCAGGGAGGATGTTATTACACAAATAGTAAAACTCAAGCCAAACAAATCCCCAGGGCCGGATGAACTGTTTGTCAGAGTGCTTAAAGAATGCAAAGAGGAGCTGTGTGAGACATTGTGGGGGTTTTCTTTTTTGCTTTCACTACTGCAATGCGTACGTCGCCAATGTACATGTGGCAGAAAGCTGTCGGAATTTGCAGAATAGAAAATACGAGAGCAACCGTACAGGGCCTGGGAGCAAGGTCGAGTTAGAGTCCTTGAGGGTCTCTTCTCAGACTAGCCTCACCTGGTCCTGCTCCACGTTGATCGTTGGAATCTCCTCAATGATTTAACACTTTAAGGGACTCCTAGGGTCCTCATCACATTTTTAGTTTAGTGAATAATAGATAACTCGGTGTTGAAGACACTAGAACTGAAGGCTTCAGTATTTGATTGGCAGTATTCAGAAGTGGTTCAATGGAAACACCGCATAAAGCTTAACAGTAGTTTATTTACTAACTTAACCACTAATACACAGGGTGCTTGATTTACTTTAGATTGGCGTCAGCAAAGCTATGGTTATATTAGCGAGACTCTTGACGTCTGGCTAATCGACTCGTATCCACTCGTGGAGAAACACCTAACTTAACACAGTTGACAGCCAATCTTTAACACGGCAACCTAACTGCCGGTATGCAAAGGGATCACAAGAGTTCCAACTGGATACTCGGTACTGATGATATGCAATAAATCAACAAATACACTGTCAATGGGACAGGCAATAACATGCACAATAATATTATCACACAATAACTAAATGTGTGGTGTATGTGAAGCTCACATTCACAGACGAGTGAAATGCAATGATACCACACAGATAAACACGCATTCACCGTCGATTCACCTATAACCTGTGACAGGTATGAGAAGGTGAGAACTGTGGTTGATCCCTCAGATCAACACAGACACAATAAAATAATGACAAGATCTCGTACTTACAGATAGGTACCTTTCCTTACTCACTCACTCAGGCACATTTATACAAGCACTCGTAGGTGGCCTGACAGCTGGTTTCGCTCGTAGACACGGAGGGTACTTGCAGTAGGGCGGGCTGTATGCTTAACAGACAGACATACGCACACACACTGGCACTGGCGATGAGCAAGGTGGTGACGTCACGTAGTAGTGAGGGCGGCGGCGGCGGGCGCCTCGAGGTACTGGGGTACTGGGGTACACGCTCGGGACAAGTGACGGCTGGCGGTGGCTGTGGTACCATGCAGGTACACTTGTGATAAAGTCACACACAGGTTACTTAGGTGGCGGCACTGCCTTAGTTCACTCGCAACGATCTTTGTCACCAGGGGTTACCTGATACCAGTCTGTTTCGCTCTTGAGATTTGTCACTTTAGGCTTCTGAATAATATATTCACACTCGTGATTCTGGGCGAGTGTGTCGTATAATCTTCAGACGCTGAGTTAACTTGACAGTGAGGAATGGACGGTTGTTCAGTCTATTGGCCGATAGACAGAACAGAAGACGTCCTCTTGGTTTGGTATCCCTCACTTGAATGCCTTACAAGTGCTGCCGGGCATCTCGTGGCACCCAGCACAAAGAGTTACAATTTGACCAATGGCATTGCAGCAAATAAGCGGGAACCAATCATATTAGCTCATTCGATGAGCAGTAGCAGGAGTGACGTCATGAACACGTCACGAACACGTCATAGCTGTTATTCACTATCGCGCTGGTTGACCCCAGAGGTCAGACGCTGCTGGCGTCTCCCCTCAGCTCTCACACTCCCACCGGGCAATGTACCCACTGACCCATGGTGGCAAGTATGCTTAACTCCCTGTATCTACTTCCTGCCTGGACATACAGCAGCCTCCGTATTATAAAAGTGCTCCTGGTTAAGTGGGCATTCTGGAGATACCCAACATGCCAGGTCACTATCTAGGGTTAACAGAAATAGGACCTTGTGCAGAAGATCGGTGCACTGTGCACAGCAATGAGCCATTCCAGTCAGCTGTGGGAGACTCTTGAGAGACACTCTCTCACAGCCATTGTCTACCATATTTAATAAATCAATAGTCAGGCAGAGTGCCAGAGTCGTGGAAGGTTGCTGATGTGGTACCAATTTTCCAGGAAAGAGATAGATCACTTGCGTCAAATTATCAGCCAATTAGCTTAACGTCTATTGTGGGAAAGTTACCTGAATCGATAATTGCAAATACCATTCAACATCATCTTGAAAAACATAAATTAATAAAGAATTCACAACATGCTTTTACAAATGGCCGTTCATGTTTAACAAATTTGCTATTATTTTGTTCCAGCATACTTGAGGCAGTTGATAGTGGTAAGGTTTGTGATGTTGTGTACCTTAACTTTAGCAAAGCTTTTGATACAGTGCCATATAAAAGACTGATTAAAAAGATAGAGGCTCATGGTATTGGGGGTGCTATATTAAGTTGGATAAGGGCATGGCTATACCAAAACAGAGCCAAAGCCAGGTGATCTAGAGATTCCACCACCAGCTGAGACACATGTTCAAGTGCAGCAGGAATGCAAGCGGAAGCGAGAGAAAAAATGGTCAACAATTCCAGACGAGGCCCAACAAGGTTCAAATCTGCAATGGAACCAAATGAGACTTCCTCCAATTCACCAAAAACCCAGACCTGGCCAGCTGGAAAAGAACCAGATCCCTGGCATGCAGACATGTGGACTAGCTGGGAGACCATCCCAGCCAGTCATCATGGTAAGCAAAGCTGCAAACCACTAGCACCCAAGAGAGACGAGTGTCCAGGGAGCCAGCTAAATGGGAGAATCTGGTAGAGGTAAGCCTCACTACAAAAGATTCCTTGAACTGGAAAGTAATATGAAAATACCAATAGGTCCAGGAATATCATCCAGGAATCCACCGGCAACACCAGGCAGACCTGAGCTAAAGAAGTCATGCAAGGAGCTGGATATGAAATGAGATGGTTCAAACCATAATGTCAAAAAACCAGCGTTGAATGTAATGAAACGCCTTTTTGTGGGCGAGCCCCGGAGGCTCCCTGGAGCTTATCAGGCTAATGTATGTTATATTAGACTGGGACATTAGCTAAGGAGTTTAGATCTACCAGGGACCAGCACCAGAACCTGGCCCCTTCAGAGAGGTTTCAGGGAGCAATGGCCCTGGAAAACCCTCTTGTGGTTGGGGTTGCTAATGTGGTTTTCCTTATCTGCCATCGACCAGGGTTAGGCACCCAGAAAGGTAGGCATAACAAAACAAACCCCACATGGTAAAAACCAAACAGAGAGGTAGAAATTCCCTACAATCCCAAGGAAACAAGCAAACATCACACTTTACTGCCGCACCGATCGTCCGCGCAGCTCTCCCCGCCCAAGAGGTGGAGGGGGGAGCCCCGGACCTCATCGCACCAGCTGCCTAGTGTCAAGTGTAGGATCTCACTCACCCCCCCCCCCCACCCTGGCTTACCTTCCTGAAAAAAAAGACTCAAACTCAGTGAAAGAGTACCCTTGTGTGGAGTGCCGGTTTCGCCAACAAGTCCTATCCCTAGTGTGTCTAATGGGTTCTCGCAGGTCCACCCACTGCTCGTTATCTTCTTTGTGGAGGTGGCATGAAAATGTTTTATCTGTCATTAGGGTTTCCTGGAAAGTCCATGAGGGTCTCAGAATCAGAGTTGCATGTGCCATTAACGCAAGGCAGCTGAGACGAAGCTATAATTGAGTTAGCACAGGAGCATCTTTCTTCTCGTTGGGTTTTCCTGGAAGATCCATGAGGGTCTCAGAACCAGAGTTGCGTGTGCCATTAACGAGCCGTTGAGATCCTCGAGGGATTTGCTTCTCTTCCAGGCTAGCATCGGAGGATCTTAGGGGAACCTGTTCTACCATGGGGTTTCCCCATGTGTGTCCCGTAGCCATGTACAGAGCTCCTGGAGTGCATTTTTTAGAGGAACCTCAAGGCCCAAGGGGAATGTTACGGGGAGGATTCCTCTCTTCTTTGTGGAGGTAGCATGAAAACATTTCACCTGTCATTATCCAATAGGGTTTCAACCCCTATCACTCTCAACCCCAACCTTTTGGGCACGGACAAAACCAAAGTCGAGGCGACTATCACCTCCAAGTCCAGGTCCTTATGACCCAAACGGGGCAGCTGCGGGGCAATGCAGAAGCTCCCTGCACTCGAATATCAGTAACAGTGGACTGGGTAAACTGGAGTACACGCATGGAACACCACTTGCAAGACCCATGGGTCAAAGGTGTCATTGACCAAATAGGCAGCATGGCGGAAGCAAAGACGGCGAATGTCACCCTGAGACAAGGGGGGGCACAGCAACCTTCAAACTCGCATGAAGCAAGGTGGGACTCGGAGGTCTCCTCCATTTGGAACAAGGAGCCCCAATGGGAATTTCCAGAGCCCTTAGGCTGACTGCTAAGGGAAGCCTAGACAAGGTACGTACTGCTAACTGGTTATTCCAGAGCTACCAAGCAAGCAAACTAAAAGCTGAACCCCTCTGATGTGTGCAATCACGGGGATCTAGCGGAGGGCCACCCAAATAATACAAGTGGTCCTACAGTCACACCACACAGACCCTCACCAGGCAAAACAAAACAAAAGAAAATAAACACCCCGCAAAAGCACAACATCTCCAGGAGGAAGAGAACCGGCTGCTATACACATTATAAGACAGTTGCACGGTACTTGTACTTTGCGCCCCTGCCAGCGACTATTCTACCTCCTACCCAAGGCCAAACAGGGGTCGGAAAGCCCTAACTGACCCCAAGAGCAGGCAATCACCAAGCAGCAAAAGAACCCTGTGGAGGTAGCCCCCAAACAGTAATGTTTGTGGAAGGTAACCCCAAACTGCAAGGGATGTACATACAAGACACCTAGGGAAGGTAACCCTAAGCACATGCAGCCCAAGTATTCTGGAATAACCTTTGGCTCACACAGCACCACACCACAGCACAACGCCACAAGGCACAGCACTGCTCAAGGATTGGAGCCGGAGTCAATCGACCACCACCTAACACAACAGCCTCAGAACTGGGATTGGTTAGCCAGCATGGGAGGTCAGGGACCCCCCTCCCCCTGCCAGGGAGGGGGGAGCTGCACAGACAGCGGTGCGGAGGTTGTCATGACGTCATGCTTGTTTGTTGTTTTCTGATTGGGAAGTTTTGTTTGCTTGTTTGGCTTTCGGTTAGCAATTTTTAACCACCTGAAGTTTATTTTAGGATTCCTACCCAAACAGATCTTATCAAGCAGGTATCTACCTTTCTGGGTGCCTAACCAGGTACATAGCAGATATACTGCTTCCAATGGGGGAAGATGGCAATGGCAAATAGACACCCCTCTACATGGGGGTGTCCATAGGCCACTGCTCCTCGTACCTCTCTGAGGGGGGGCCAGATTCTGGCGATGGTCCCCGGTAGGCTTAGAATTCCATCAATTGACTGTTGCCATGGTCTAACATATACACATCAGCTCAGTATAGCTTCAAAGAGCCAAAGGGGCTCTCCACAGAACACCAGCATTGAATGTAATGAAATGCCACTTTCTGGGTGAGCTCCGGAGGCTCCCCAGAGCTATAGGACTGATATACGCTATTTTAGTCTGGGGGCTTCAGTCAGTGGAGTTAGGCCACACCGCATGCCTCAACAACTTTACTCCCTTGGGTAAAAGTGACCATGTCTTTCTGGGAATAAAGTATGCAATGCGCTATAATCTGGAAGAAAATATGACGGTCGATGCAATTGAAAAACCTGACTTTAGGAGAGGACATTATGGCAACCTTAGAAAATTTTTAAGTGAGTATAATTGGACAGACTTGTTGCTAGGCAAGGAAGTGAATGAGATGTATGTCAGGTTTTGTGAAATATATGATAAAGGCACAAAAATTTTTTTACCAAAACAGAGAAGCAGAACTAGGAAACAGGATTGGTTCAACAGAAAGTGCGAGAGGGCCAGAGACCAAAAGACACAAAAATGGAATCAATACAGGAAGAGGTCGAACCCCCAAACATACCAGCGATACAAAGATGCGAGAAACAACTACACGGCAGTGAGGAGAGAGGCAGAAAGTAAATTTTGAAAAAGGGATTGCGGACAAATGTAAAACAGAACCAGGTCTATTCTATAAATTCATAAACAACAAATTGCAGGTAAAGGATAATATTCAGAGGTTGAAAAAGGAAAATAGATTCACGGAAAATGAAAAGGAAATGTGTGAAACATTAAACGAAAAGTTCCAAAGTGTGTTTGTACAAAATGAAATCTTCAGCGAACCAGATGCAATAAGAATTCAAGAGAACAACATAGAGCACATAAAGGTGTCTAGAGACGAAGTGGAAAAAATGCTCAAGGAGCTAAATAAGAATAAAGCAGTTGGTCCAGATGGAGTTTCACCATGGGTTCTGAGAGAATGTTCACCTGAGCTCAGCATTCCTCTTCAACTGATTTTTCAGGCATCCCTGTTTACAGGAGTTGTAGCTGATGTGTGGAAATAGGCTAACATAGTTCCAATCTACAAAAGTGGAAGCAGGGAAGACCCCCTTAATTATAGACCGATATCATTGACAAGTGTAATAGTCAAAATATTGGAAAAAATAATTAAATCTAAATGGGTAGAACACCTGGAGAGAAATGATATAATATCAGACAGACAGTATGGTTTTTGATCTGGAAGATCCTGTGTATTGAATTTACTCAGTTTCTATGATCGAGCAACAGAGATATTACAGGAAAGAGATGGTTGGGTTGACTGCATCTATCTGGACCTAAAAAAGGCTTTCGACAGAGTTCCACATAAGAGGTTGTTCTGGAAACTGGAAAATATTGGAGGAGTGACAGGTACGCTTCTAACATGGATGAAAAATTTTCTGACTGATAGAAAAATGAGGGCTGTGATCAGAGGCAATGTATCGGACTGGAGAAATGTCACAAGTGGAGTACCACAGGGTTCAGTTCTTGCACCAGTGATGTTTATTGTCTACATAAATGATCTACCAGTTGGTATACAGAATTATATGAACATATTTGCTGATGATGCTTAGATAATAGGAAGGATAAGAAACTTATATGATTGTCATGCCCTTCAAGAAGACCTGGACAAAATAAGTACATGGAGCGCCACTTGGCAAATGGAATTTAATGTTAATAAATGCCATGTTATGGAATGTGGAATAGGAGAACATAGACCCCACACAACATATATATATTGTGAGAAATCTTTAAGGAATTCTGATAAAGAAAGAGATCTAGGGGCGGTTCTAGATAGAAAACTATCACCTGAGGACCACATAAAGAATATTGTGCGAGGAGCCTATGCCACGCTTTCTAACTTCAGAATTGCTTTTAAATACATGGATGGCGATATACTAAAGAAATTGTTCACGACTTTTGTTAGGCCAAAGCTAGAATATGCAGCAGTTGTGTGGTGCCCATATCTTAAGAAGCACATCAACAAACTGGAAAAGGTGCAAAGACATGCTACTAAGTGGCTCCCAGAACTGGAGGGCAAGAGCTACGAGGAGAGGTTAGAGGCATTAAATATGCCAAAACTAGAAGACAGAAGATAAAGAGGTGATATGATCACTACATACAAAATAGTAACAGGAATTGATAAAATTGATAGGGAAGATTTCCTGAGACCTGGAACTTTGAGAACAAGAGGTCATGAATATAAACTAGCTAAACACAGATGCCGAAGAAATATAAGAAAATTCACTTTCGCAAACAGAGTGGTAGACGGTTGGAACAAGTTAGGGGAGAAGGTGGTGGAGGCCAAGACCGTCAGTAGTTTCAAAGCGTTATACGACAAAGAGTGCTGGGAAGACGGGACACCACGAGCGTAGCTCTCATCCTGTAACTACACTTAGGTGATTGACAGTTGAGAGGCGAGACTAAAGAGCCAGAGCTCAATCCCCACAAGCACAACTAGGCAAGTACAGACAAACACCTACCAGGAAACCAGAAGCAGAACCTGGTTCTCTCAGTAGAGGTGCTTGGATAATAGGTCAACCCCAGCCAGGAGGTCAAACCTTGCGGCAAGAGAGAGCACTCCAAAACATCCAACTGTATAGATGAAAATTATACAACTCATATAATCATTCAAATATAATAAACATAGCTAACCCTGACAACTAGGTACACAGTCGTAAGCTAATTACCACTTCTAGTTACACCTTCCCCCTACCCGGTGGAGTTCCAACTAGCAATATTTATTAATATACAGTACTTACTATTTATTAAGCATGCACACACAACTAAGCCCAAACACAGTGATGGGAAAAAACTTACAGGAGATTAAATTCACTGAGATCAGCATGAACCAGATGACACTGACGGTACATAACCCACATCTGAATCACCAGGTCGTAGTACAGCTCTCGGGCTTTATTTTCAGAAATCTCTGCATCCTATGAGAAACATTGTCCAGTAATTAGTAAAAATAGCAACATTGTGACCTTTGAGTAACTAAAATAAACGAGTTTACCATGAATAGCGTAAGAAAATGCATCTGTGAACACAGAGACAAATGTGTGCTATAAAGGTTAATATGATATAGTGGATATAGTGCACATCAAACTATTTTACCAATTAATGAACAGTACAATTAATGAATAAAGCTAAACAAAACACTTATATATCCATATATAAGATAGAAAAAAAAAAATTCTATCCAGAATTATTGCAAATAACAGGGTACTGTATTGTAATTAATTGTATTTTCTGAGCCATCCCCCTCAGCTGACCCCGGCGGATATAGACTATGCTAAAAAGCGAAAGCGAATTATGCATTCAGGAAGTAACAGTAACACACTTTTGTGTTAGATATACAGATAGGGTCTTCCGCGCCCATTGCATCCAATCCCATCTGTCCCATCCTACCCTTCAATGCCCCTCCCCCTTCCCTCCTCCCCTCTGCTCTCAAACCCTGCCCATCCCTCACCCCTCCTCTGCATCTCAGCTCCCATATGACTCCCTCACCTTGCAAGCCCCCCCCCCCTCACCTCTTCACTGCCCACAAAACCCTTTCTCTTACCCCACTTCCATTCTCAGCCCCCACCTCCCTCTCTCCCCTCCCTCCCTTCTACCCCAAAACCCACACCTACCCCTGATTCCCCCTCTGACTAATAAAACCTCTCCCACTCCCACCCCACATGCTCCATTCTCCCCTTTTCACCCTCTCCTGCTCTCCCCCCCCCCACCTCTCAACCTCAATTTGACTCTCAGACTCACTACCTCTCAACCTCCCTATGCCTTTCAAACCCTCCCTACCCCAGTAGCCCCCCCCCCAGACCCCCAGAGAAAGGGTGAACTCTGATACCAGAGTTTTCAAGAAGAGTCTCAAGGTATGGTACACCAATGCTGATGGGGTATCCAATAAAGCGGAAGAGACGAAAGAAAGAGTTAGCGAGGCAAATCCTGACATAATTGCAATAGTGGAAACTAAAATAAATGACATGATCTCGGATGCAATCTTTCCCAGGGGGTAACAAGTGATAAGATATATAAAGGTCGCAGAGACAGGGAGGAGGGAGTGGCACTCCTAATAAAGCGGAAATGGAAGTTTGAAGACCTGGGAAAATCCGGGTACTAATGAAAGCACAAGCTCCATACATGGAACTCTGACAGCAGATGGGAAGAAGGTTATTATTCTTGATAATCTACAATCACCCCACCAAACAGTAGAAAGTCCAAGCAGGAGTATGATGACAACAACAAGGCATGTATAGATGAACTGCGGAGGGCAGCAATAACAGCTCACAGAATGAGAGCAAAACTGCTGGTCATGGGGGACCTAAATCATAAAGATCAATTGAGAATCAAGGAATCCCCGTGGCGAAGAAGAAACGTGGGGAGCAAAGTTAGACGTTATAGAGTTTCCTAACACAGCATGTGAAGGAAGACACAAGGAAAAGAGGAGGGGGATGCACCGAGCCTATTAGACCCGATTTTCACCCAGAACGAAGAAGACATCGAGAATTTGGAACATGAAATACCACTAGAAGCCAGTGACCATTGTGTCCTAGTCTTTGACTACATGATGGAATTTAAAACTATGACCATGAGACAAGAGGTCTGGGAAGAGAGTTGACTACAGAAAATGGGATTACAGGAGGATAAAGGAATACCTTGGAGAAGTGCAGTGGGAGGAAGAAATTAGAGGAAAAACAGTCCAGGATATGCTGGACCTAGTCAAATGGAAATGCATGGAGGCCAAAGAGAGATTTATACCAACAGTAAAGAAAAAAGTAGGAAGGGATATAATAACGCATGGTTTAATAGACAGTATCAGGAAGCAAAAATGAGAAGTAGGATGGAGTGGAGGAAGTACAGAAGACAAAGGACAGAGAACAACAGGATTAGATGCAACAGAGCTAGGAGCAACTACATTAACATAAGAAGAGTATCAGAAAGAAATTCTGAAAACGATATGGCAATGAAAGCAAAAAAAAACAGCGTTGAGTGTAATGAAACTTCATTTTCTGGGCGAGACCCAGAGGCTCCCTTGAGTTATCCAGGCTGATATGGATATATTAGACTTTGGCATCAGTCAATGTGCATAGAGTTCTAGGCCTACCTGGGACCACGAGCCAGAACCTGGCCCCCTCAGAGAGGCACGAGGTGCAATGGCCTATAGAAACCCCCCATGTGGTTGGAAGCATTCTATGTCTGCCATCGACCGGGTCAGGCACCCAGAAAGGTAAGCACCTTAAAACAAACCCCTATTCTGGTTAAGAAACTGCTACCGAGAGAGAACTCCCCAAATGAAAACTAGCAAACTAGCATGACATCACTACGTTGCCATGCCGCTGTCTGAGCAATCCCCCCTCCCCAGGAGGGGGGAAGGGGGAAGCCCCAGACCCTCACGCCAGCTATCCACCCTGCAGTTCTGAGGCTGGACGTCAAAATACACAAAAAACCAGCGTCGAATGTAATGAAACGCCATTTTCTGGGTGAGCCCTGGAGGCTCCCTGGAGCTTATCGGGCTAATGTATGTTATGTTAGACTGGGACATTAGCTATGAAGTTCAGACCTATCAGGGACCAGCGCCAGAACCTGGCCCCTTCAGAAAGGTTTCAGGGAGCAATGGCCCTGGAAAACCCCATTATGGTTGGGGGTTTTTCCTTATCTGCCATCGACCGGGGTCAGGCACCCAGAAAGGTAAGCATAACAAAACAAACCCCACATGGTAAAAAACTACAACAAAAAAACGAACAGAGAGGTAGAAACTCCCTACAATCCCAAGGAAACAATCAATCAATTTACTGCGCGCCAGCTGCCATCAGTTCGGAAACTAGGCTTCAACCAAAGTGAAAAAAAAACGCCGACCGGGTGGGAGGGAGGGTAGCCAGGGAGCCTCCGGAAAACTTCAGAAAGAAAGAAACTTCAACACTGGTTTTCTGTGGGGAGCCACTACGGGTCCTTGGAGCTACATACCCAAAGAGAAGGAATTACAGTAGGGACTTACCCAGGAGGCGGCGGCCACAAACTCCTTAACGCGAAGTCGAGACAACTGGCTGCAACCTGCAACCCAAAGCAACACAAGAACACCAAGGAGCAGGGACGTTCACCAAATAACAGGTGGTCAGGACCCTGTTCGACTTCCAAAATCCACGCACCCGAATATGAGCCCAAGACATGTTACCAAACACGGCAGCCAAAGCTACAAACTTCCGAACGTCATGGGCACGAGGAAAGACTGCAGGGTGGCTAGACTTAATAACCCTGCGGACAACCTGAGACACGCGAGCCCTGGAACAGGGAACAAGGGAATCCGGATCAACCCAAAGCGCATCCCCACCCACCCCAGCTGAAGCCCGCAAGTAACGGCAAAGTGCTGCAACCGGACACAACACATGATGCACCCCCGGCCGAACAAACCAAGCATCAATGACCCACAGACCCCTCCAGAAAGCAGCAGTCTCGTTCTTCGCCAGAAAAGATGAACAAGGCTGCAAACGAACAAACCTACCCCAGGACCAAAAGAGCAGAAACCCCTGCGTCGGAGGAGAGCATGAAGCTCCCCTACCCGGCCCCCAGAGGCCAATGCCAACAAAAACAAAGCCTTGGAAAAACAATCTGGAACCGAAGGGGCCACCACAAACCGAGAAGAGGAAAGATATGAGAGCACCCTGTCCAAAGACCAGGACGGCTCAGGAGACGCATGAGCAGGCTGGAGGTGAAACATAGCACGGGAAAGCTTACGAAACGGGGCGGATGTGACATCCACACCGAACGCTAGCTTGAGCGGCTCCGCCAGCGCCACACGATACGAGGTGACAGTATTAGGCATCAAATGACGGTCCTGAAAAAGCCAAGAAAAAAAGGACAAGACAACCCGATCCGAAAGAAAAGACAACCTACGAAGAGCTAGAAAATGGCGAAAAGAATGCCAGGAAACTTCATACTGTCGCAGAGACGAAGCTCTCGGGTGCGAACACCATTAACAAAGCCACCTGATCACCATAGAAATGGTGATCCACCCGCGTCAAAGAGACCAGATGCGAAGAGCTAAGGAGAAGTTCAAACCAGCCCTGTACCGGACCGGGCCGGCCTCCTGAAAGAGACGGAGCCGCGGGAAACATCCCGGGTTCAGGCACCGAGCCAATAGCATCGGAAACCACGGCTGGGCCGGCCACCAAGGGGCCACAAGGACTACTCTCCCTGGGAATGTCTCCAACCGAACCAGAACCTGAAGCAACAGCTGGACCGGGGGAAAGAGGTACAGGTAACCCCACCTCGACCAGTCCTACCGAAAGGCATCCACCGCGAACGCCTCGCGGCATCCACATCTGAGACAATACGTCTGGCAGATCCAACGAAACAAGTCGTCGTCGACCGTCCATTCCGTGGACAGGGGATGGAAGCGTGACAGACAATCCGCCAGAACGTTGGACACTCCCCGGACATGAACCACATGGAAAGCCAAACCCCGAGAATCCAGCTGATGAACCACTCGAAGAGACCAACCCCAAAAAGCCAAGGACCGAAGAGAACCCCCGCGGTTCAGGCAATGAACCACTGGAGAACAGTCCGAATGGAGACGAATGGTCGATCCACGAGCAACCCGAACCCTCCGAAGCGCGAACCAAACTGCCGCGAACTCCCGAACTGTACTGTGAACCCGACGGAAGGACGGACCCCACCGTCCCCGGCCTGCCTGGAGAGCACTGGTCACAAAGCCCCAGTCGAGAGACAACGCATCCATGAACACATCAAGTGAGGGCTCGGGAAGGCGCCAAGGCACCGAACCCCTAAAACCCCGAAGAGAAAGCCGGTGACGCAGCAACCGACACAAGGCCCACGGAGGACGAACCCAACGATCGCGAGAGAGGCGAAAGGGACGTCCCCAAAGGTACCAAAACAGACACCGAAGCCAAACCCGACCAGGTGGATAGACTAGCATGGCGAAGTTCAGACTCCCGCACAACCGCTCGAGCAACCGCCGAGTGACCCGGGACCCCCTCAGAAAATGCCGACGGCAGTCCCGCAGCCGCAACGCCTCTGGAGGGAGAACAAGAAAGCAGTCCAAAAATCCCAAACAAGACCCAGCCAGGTCCGAACCTGGGACAGAACCAGATGGGACTTCCTCCAGTTCACCAGGAACCCGAATCTGGCGAGCTGGGAAAGAACCATATCCCTGGCGAGCAGACAAGCTGACCGACTAGGAGCCCACACCAGCCAGTCGTCGAGGTAGGCCAAAACCCGAATCCTTAGAAGACGCAGACGGGTCACTGCAACCCGGGTCAGACTCGTGAAAACACGAGGTGCCAGATTCAAGCCAAAAGGTAGGCATCGAAAACGGTAAGTTTGACGCCCCACCATGAAACCTAACCAGTCCCTGAACCCCGAATGAATAGGAACGTCCCAATAGGCGTCCTTGAGGTCCAGGAACACCATCCAGGCACCCGGCTCCAACAGAAGCCGGACCTGAGACAGAGTAGTCTTCCGAAAGGAGGGGCAAGAAATCCAGGGGTTCAAACGGGACAAGTCCAGAATGAACAGCAGATCCACACAGTCCCATTTCGGTACTGGAAACAGACGGGGAACCCACCTGAGGGACGTAGTCGTTTTGACCACGCCCAAGTGCACCCACTCCAAGACGACTAGACGAAGTGCAGGAGAAGAAACCTGCCCTGTTAGCCCCGAACCCCCGAAAGGAGGACTAGACGTCCAACGCAACCGCAGGCCAGATGACACGACCGAAAAGGCCCACAAATCGTGGGACCAAGCATGAGCAAACAGAACGAACCTCCCCCCCCATCGCCCCGTCAACGGGGCAAACCGCGAAAGAACCGACACCCCTTATGAGAACCCAAACGTCGAACAGGGCGATCACTGCTGCAGAAGTCAGTGCCCCCGGATGAAGGCCCTTCACTCAACGCTCCCACATCCTCCTCAAGCCAAGCAGAAGACAGCTCGCGAAGGGAAAAGAAAAGCAAGACTGAAGCTAAATGCCCACGGGCACACAATTCCTCCGCAACCAAAGAAGCCGAAAGCTGAGGAACCTGCACGTGAAGCTGGAAAAGGCCAACATCCCGAGAAAGCACGAGAGCGAACAAGCACGCATTAGGTGCTCAAACTCGCCTCCCAGATAAACCTGCATAAAAGTAGCAGTTTCCTGCCAATCAAGCGTGCGGGTCCGATAGAACCCATGCCACGCCCCCAACAAAAAGAAAGGGCAGCCAGGAAGACTCCGAAACCTCCAAACGCACCCAAAAACGGGAAGAACTGAACTCAAACGAGGACGGATCCATTGCAGAGGCATAACCCGGGTCTCGCAAGAGGTATGCAGCAAGAGCTTCCCGAGCCACCTTCGCGGAGATATGGGAAGTAGAAAACCTCTAGAAAGACGGACCCGAGGTACCCAAAGGCGCCTGGAACCGAACCCGGCGAGGAGCCGAACCCAAACCATACTCATACAGGGAAGGGGGGGGGTAAGAAAATCCATCCCCCAGCAACAATAAGCCCCGCGAGGAAGGCAAAAGCACCCAAGCAGGGTCACAGGGGGCCCAAGGCCCCCAGGCTGACTCCTCCCCAGCCCCAGGATCCCCCACGTCGGGACCCGGGGCAGAGCCGTCCTCCAAACCCTCTACCCCTGAAGAAAAGGCAGAGTCCAAGGGAAAGGCAGACAAGAAAGGGGTCTGCTGGTGGGACCTAGAAGCCTCGGCAGGAGGAACCGACTCAAATGCCTCCGTTCCCGACCCGGATGGGGCAGCCCCCGAGGCAGCCCGAGTCTCATTACCAACTAAACCCTGTGCCGAGGCCGAAACCCTCAGACGTTTTGGAGCCGGACACAGGGGGGGAAGGTGCAGAAAGAACCACAGGGGAAGGACCAGGGAGCGCGGCAGGAGCCAAAGCCAGAGCGACTAACGCCCCCAGGTCAGGGTCCCCAAAACCAAAACGGAGCAGCCTCGGGGCATTCGGGTGGGAAACCAACCTAGCGAGTTGCAATAACCTAAACCTAACATGCAACACTGATGCTGCCTGTACCCTAACAGGAACATCCTCAGAGTAAAACTGGAGCACAAGCAGAGAACATGACTCGCATGACTCCGGGTCAAAGGTGTCGTTGACCCAACAGGCAGCATGACGGAGGCAAAACAGGTGACTGTCACCCTGACACAAGGGCACACTGCAACCTTCAAACCCGCACAAGGCAGGCTGGAACTCGGGAGACACATCCATGGGTCCCCGAGCCCCGACGGGGGTTTCCAGGGCCCGTAGGGTAAAAACTACGGGAAGCCCAGGCAAGGTGTTGCTAACCGGTTAAGAAACCCAAACAAACAAGGGTAGATGATAACACTGAAAATCCCCTGGGTCGTGTACAAGCGCGGGGGCCTAGCAGAGGGCCACCAAAACAATGTCAGGGGGAACTATAGACCCACGTGGCAGAACCTCCACCAGGCAAACAAAAACAAAACATAAAAGTAAAACCCCGCAAAAGTACACCATCTCCAGAGGCTACAGGAACCGGTCACCGCTTAGGTGGCAGGCCGCGCAACACCTCGACACCCTAACCAGCACAACACCACTCCCTACCCAAGGCTAAACAAGGGCCCCAAGCCCCAGCTGGCCCCAAGGGCGAGGCAAATGCCGAGCAGCAAGAACCCCTACAGGACCGGTTCCCGAATGCCCCAGGGAAGATAACCCTGACACGCAGGGGCAGTACTCACAGGGCGCCTAAGGAAGGAAGCCCCTAAGCGCATGCAGCCCCGGCACTGATGAGGTACTCCTGGCCATCACACAAAGACAGCAGAGAACGCCACACGAAGCACACACTGCCCAGGAATATGAACCCAGAGAAGCGTCTATCCCGGTTGACACTAGCTTACGAACTGAAGGCAGCCAGCGCGGTGAGGCCTGGTGCCCCCTCCTCCTCCTCCCGGGGAGGGGAGGGCTGCGCGGACGACCGGTGCGGCAGTAAATTGATTGATTGTTTTCTTGGGATTATAGGGAGTTTCTACCTCTCTGTTCGGTTTTTTGTTGTAGTTTTTTAACATGTGGGGTTTGTTTTGTTATGCCTACCTTTCTGGGTGCCTGACCCCAGTTGATGGCAGATAAGGAAAAACCCCAACCATAATGGGGTTTTCCAGGGCCATTGCTCCCTGAAACCTCTCTGAAGGGGCCAGGTTCTGGCGCTGGTCCCTGATAGGTCTGAACTCCATAGCTAATGTCCCAGTCTAACATAACATACATTAGCCCGATAAGCTCCAGGGAGCCGTAGGGGCTCCCCACAGAAAATAATGGTTAGTGTGTCTTGGGGCTTCACAGGGATACAGATCTTCTGATCTGGAGGACAAACCAGTCAACATTTTTGGCCGAATTTGCAGTATTAAGGTATTGTGCCACTTGATTATTTCATGTATAATCGGTATTATATTCTGTTGCCTCTTAGGGTGTTTTATTAAAGCAGGATACACGTTTTCAATTTGATTCCAATATATGTGTTTTAATTAAAATAAGTGTATTAATGTACTTGTGTTTAGTTATCCGTTCCCTTTGATTACTGTCGAGTCATTTTTATATGCGGTATTCTCGTGTGATATTGGAAGCCCTGAATTCCTCAATAAGTCAAGTAAAATTATGTAAATTAATTCCCAAGATTATCAAGATTCATATGCCCTCGAGTTCATGATTATTGATCCCTTTCCTTCCTGAGAGATCAGTAATAGACACATTCAGATGGTCAGGGGGGAGGTGGTGGCAGTCAAGTATGTGTAAGTCTTATTTAGTCATAATTAAATTCATAACCTTTTCATTCTTCATTCTTCCCCCATTTAATATTTCAGTTTAATAATTAGCTGTAGTTCAGTGAGGGTCATACTGAGCTGCAAGCAGTGTTGAACTGGGGTGTGAAGTGGAGTAAGGGAAGAGCAGGTAGGGTTATTACAAGAGGAGACCAGAAATAATGGCACCATAAAGTAAAGACAATGATGTATAGGAATAGGAAAATGAAAGACTTTAGAGTGGAAATAATTTTAGAACCACCACCAATGGCACATATAAACAGAATAACATCGGCAACACATAGGAAGCTAGCACACGTTAGAATGGCATTTTAAGACCCAACTAGCAGCATGGAATTCATCACCCCATGAAACACAAAACAAAACAGGCAATACATAACACCAGTAATTACCTTCAGTCTCGGTGATGGCATTGAATTTGTACCCAAAAACTCCATAACAAGCACATGAGAGCGCAGAACCACAGGGCGTGGCACAGGCAGGCCACAGTTATACATACGAAATAAATTACTTGTCTCTTTCTCTGCCCACGTCCGTACCATCTTCCTGGGATTGTGCTTTCCATACCCATGACGAAATCTGGAGGCAAAGTTATACTGTACTGCATATCAAGCAATAAATCTGTTTGAGTTAGAAAGAACATCTCATTACTTAGTTAACCTTGAGGGCACTTCATTCACAACAAATATGAAAGTAAAGTTGCTCTACTTTTTGGTTACCGATTCCATAAAATATACTGTACACAGCAAACAATAATTAAATATGAGTTTAACTATTGCTTAACCCCTGGGCTGCTCTTGTGATTATAGTCTGCATCACGGCCAGGGGCAATAAATAAAAAATAAAAAATAAAATTCCTCTTATAAAAGGTGTTCATTTGTGTTCCCTGGCCATGGAAAAACGAACAAAAAAATCATAGGCGACATATTTTGGCCGCAATTGAGCGAGGAAGTCTGGCAAATTTGAGGCGTATATATAAACAACTCTTGTATATATCTCAAAAAAAAAAAATTGCTGTTATTACACTATATACACAGGTTATATATAAGTATCTGCATGTTATGTTCAGCATAACATACCACTAAATTGGTATGGCGAATCAAAACAATGGCGAGTGGCCGCCACACACCAGCCAGCCAATGCCACCACCTTCCCTCCTTCAACAACAGCTCACTCGCCAACATTCCTCCTCCCACCATACTGTTTTTGCCTTTATTCACTATATACAGACGTTATATATAAGTATCTACTCGTTTGCTTGTTTTTCTTTGGAGAGTTCTGTCCGCTCGATTGACTTTCAGTAGTAGTTTCAACCAGCTTAGGGGTTTGTTTTGGGATGCTTACCTTTCTGGGTGTCTGACCCTGGTCGATGGCAGACATAGAATGCTCCAAATCACATGTGCTATTCTATAGGCCATTGCTCCTCGTGCTTCTCTGAGGAGGCCAGGTTCTGGCTCGTGGTCCCTGGTAGACCTATGAACTCCATTCACATTGATTGATGCCAGAGTCAAATATATTACATATCAGCCTGGATAGCTCCATGGAGCCAAAGGAGTCCCCCCCCCCCCCAAAAAAAAAAAAAAAATTAGGGGATTTTTTTTTATTATTATTTGATTTTGTTGTAGAGGTAACCTTGACATCGTGGAGAGTGCATACCCGTCCCTAACTATGTGAAGATAGAATGTAACCTTGACATCGTGGAGAGTGCATACCCGTCCCTAACTATGTGAAGATAGAATGTAACCTTGACATCGTGGAGAGTGCATACCCGTCCCTAACTATGTGAAGATAGAATGTAACCTTGACATCGTGGAGAGTGCATACCCGTCCCTAACTATGTGAAGATAGAATGTAACCTTGACATCGTGGAGAGTGCATACCCGTCCCTAACTATGTGAAGATAGAATGTAACCTTGACATCGTGGAGAGTGCATACCCGTCCCTAACTATGTGAAGATAGAATGTAACCTTGACATCGTGGAGAGTGCATACCCGTCCCTAACTATGTGAAGATAGAATGTAACCTTGACATCGTGGAGAGTGCATACCCGTCCCTAACTATGTGAAGATAGAATGTAACCTTGACATCGTGGAGAGTGCATACCCGTCCCTAACTATGTGAAGATAGAATGTAACCTTGACATCGTGGAGAGTGCATACCCGTCCCTAACTATGTGAAGATAGAATGTAACCTTGACATCGTGGAGAGTGCATACCCGTCCCTAACTATGTGAAGATAGAATGTAACCTTGACATCGTGGAGAGTGCATACCCGTCCCTAACTATGTGAAGATAGAATGTAACCTTGACATCGTGGAGAGTGCATACCCGTCCCTAACTATGTGAAGATAGAATGTAACCTTGACATCGTGGAGAGTGCATACCCGTCCCTAACTATGTGAAGATAGAATGTAACCTTGACATCGTGGAGAGTGCATACCCGTCCCTAACTATGTGAAGATAGAATGTAACCTTGACATCGTGGAGAGTGCATACCCGTCCCTAACTATGTGAAGATAGAATGTAACCTTGACATCGTGGAGAGTGCATACCCGTCCCTAACTATGTGAAGATAGAATGAAATTGGTCAACAAATATATATCAGTCACAACAAGCAGAACCTGGGACTTCAAAATTCTTTTGGCTGATTTTTTCACAGATTTCAAACTATTTTCTTTGTCTCTTTAGGTTGTTTTGATGATTAGGGACCAGATTAGGGCTTTATCACTTACATAAAGTATACATCTTTATCCCCTAAATCATAATTATCCCTATATTTTGTTTTTTGGCGGGTATTTTTTCTTGACATCATTCCAATACAGATTGTCCTACAACTTTCATATATTCGAGTACGAATGCCAAACAAAGTTTATTAAAACATGCAAGTAAATTCATGAAGTAGAACTGCCTTATTCATTGTCAATAACTTCAATTATCTCCAAAACTAGAGTTTCAACTTTGAGTCAGTTTAAAAAAATTTTGTTTCTGACCGATTATCACCATTTTTACATATAGTGTGCACAGCTGACTGTTCTACAATCCTATTAGAATGTTTTTTTCATAAACCTTAAACATTTGGAGTTATAAATTTTGTTGTCTAAATTTGGCACATATTTCAAATTCCACATTGACTATTTTTTTACAGTAAACTAAACTAAAAACCTATATTCTAAATCTATGAAAATGAAGATCATATGCTATTCTGAGTGCATAATAAACATCAAATGAACAATTGGTGATACTTTATATTTTTGCAGCCGATTTGAAAATCCGAAGTTTTCAATATTCAATTTTATAATTATTTTTTATTTTCTTATTTTTCAAGTTATGTTTGTGATCATTTAGACAAAGTTGCAGGATTTGCTAGTAGATTATGCACAAAAAATTGTAAAGCATTTCAGTAAGTCTGAGAAACTGAACTCGTGGTACCCTCAAGTCCGGTAGTATAGGTATGCCATGCACAGTTTAAGCGCTAAGGGAAAACATGTGGAGGGCGAGTGGGTGGGAACGTGAGAGTAAGTTGATGGATAAGTAGCAGGGCAGGCGGCAAAGTGGGTGGATAGGTGAGCAGCAGTGGTCGTGCAGGTGTCAGTGTGTGCAGGCGTGCAGGCGGGCAGTAGTGAGGTGGTTGGCATAGTTGGCATGCAGGCAGTAGAACGAGCGGGTGTCAGATGGAAGACTAAGAAGGTGGGTGGCAGGGCAGGCTCAGAGTGGGTGGGTAGCAGGGCAGTCAGGAGACAGTGGGTGGGAAGATGAGTAGCAGGACAGGTGGCAAAGTCTAGCAGAGGCGGTGGCGTGAGTGGGCGAGCTTCCAATTAGTACTAACACAGGAGCTGGTCACCCTTGGTCCTTCCCCAAGACCCCCCCATCCAGCACACCGGACCCTCCCCATTACCTCCATCCCCCCCATTCCCCACACCAGACCCCCCCAGCTGTACCCCTCCCAGCCATATCTGGACAGTATTAATTAGTAGGCTTAGTTGCTACCAGCTGTTGGATCAGGTGCCAGACTGCCTGAGCACCTGACATTAAACTCTTATTGTTTACCAACTGGTTGCAACTGTGAAAGCCTGATTGACTGTGAATAGCTGATTGACTGTGAATGTCTGATTGTGAATGCGTGACTGACCGTAAGTGCCTAACCGGTTGCTACCACAACTGTGAATGATTGACTGCCTGTGACTGGTCTTGACACCACAACTGTGAATGATTGACTGCCTGTGACTGGTCTTGACTGTGAATGCTTGACTGACATGTTGTGACTAACTGATTCTGACTGGCTGCCACATAACAGAGGCAGGGAAATGTGCGAGGGAAAAATCCGGAACCAGTGATGCAGATATGACAGCGTAAAAGGTGAGCAGGGGACGGTCCTTCTAAACACTCAACACCTTCCCCCCCCCTCCTCCTCACCCTCCCCATACACCAACACTGCTCCTCCCTCCCTCCCTCCTCACCGTCTCCCATACGCCAACAAGAGTCCTCAGTAAAGGTAAAGTGCAGTTAAATGTTCACTTATTTTATTTATGGTATATATTTATATCCGATTGTTTTGTGTATGAAAAATATGAGTAGTGTTGTGTATAAAATTTATTTTAAGTTAATATTGTTGGGTGTGTGGAATGAATTAATACAACTTGCATTATTTCTTCCGGAAAAATTTGTTTTCATTTCCGAATTTTCGGTTGTCAAACCATCTCTGGGAACAGATTAAATTAGAAACCGAAGGTACCACGAGGGGAGCCGGTCGGCCGAGCGGACAGCACGCTGGTCTTGTGATCCTGTGGTCCTGGGTTCGATCCCAGGTGCCAGCAAGAAACAATGGGCAGAGTTTCTTTCACCCTATGCCCCTGTTACCTAGCAGTAAAATAGGTACCTGGGTGTTAGTCAGCTGTCACAGGCTGCTTCCTGGGGGTGGAGACCTGTTCGAGGACCGGGCTGTGGGGACACTAAAAAGCCCTGAAATCATCTCATGATATCCTCAAGATACCACTGTATACTAGTACGCAGAATTTAGGTTCCACAACCACCAGAAAACATATTGCGACCTGCCAGTTGAAATCCACTGCTCTAAGATAAAAGATAAATTAAAAACAATATTTCCTACATCCTAGCAATATTAAGAGAAACTGATTGATGGAAAACTAATTGACCAAAAAATATTTGATCAAGTGTGAAAGAAATGTACCTGTGATCTCCGGAGACATATCTATCACGGTCCTTGAAGGTGAGGATGGAGGTTTTGTAGATTTTGACGGCATAGTCTTGACCATCACTACCCAAGGCATGATAAACATTGGCCTCTTTGCCAGTAGAAATACATCCATTTATCTGGAAATACAGCATTGTTAGCATGTAGACCGCTTTCAAAATAATCACAGACACAACATTTGACACATTAGAAATAGTGCTTTAAGGACAATTATGGGGCAATGTTTGCTCCATTTGATGATCTGTAAGCATTCTTAAAACTCAAAATATGTTTAAAATACTGTAATATTGTTCTCTCATTCCCATTCTGCCTTAATTATTTTATATTCTCTTCTTTTATCCTCTTAATATTTTAGTTTATTTTGATATTTGTGAATACAAAAGTGAATACTAAATACAGATACATTATAATACAACAATGCAAGTGAATTGTTATATACCGTATCCCTATTATATTCATGGTTCAAAGTTAAGCTCAATATTCTTCTTAAATAAAAAGAAAAACCAGCCTTGATAGTAATGAAATGCCATTTATTGGGCGAGCCCCGGAGGCTCGCTGAAACTATCAAACCAATATGTGCCATATTAGTTTGGGGCCATCAGTCCCTGAAGTTCCGAGTGTTTACCGGGGGGGCCACAAGCCAGAATCTGGCTCCCCCCCTCCCTCACAGAGGCGTGGAGAGCAATGGCCATATGAGCTCTCTACATTTAGAGTTTGTCATGTCTGCCATCGACTAGGGATACAGTACCTCCACAAAGGTAGGTGAAACATTACAAACATCTAACTAGTGAAAATTGCAACCTACGTCCGAACAGAGTCCAAGAACTCCCCTCCCCCCCCCCCCCCAATAGAAAACAATGAAACGAGCAACACGTCATCAAACAAGCATGCTCACTTGCTAGCGCATCACCCTCCTCGGACAAGAGGGATGGGGGACCCCTGCACAGGCGAGCTAGCCGCACCATCCCCAGTTCAGAGAATGAAGAAGACCGCCGACTGGAGGGAAGAAGTGTGGGAGGAGTCTCACAGGCTCGTCCAGAAAATGGAGTTACATTACATTCAGCGCTGGTTTTCTGAGGAAAGCCCCATCGGCTTTCTGAAGCTATCTACCCACAGATAAGTAAAAACAGGGACTTACCCGGGAGGCGGCAGCACCACAGGTCTCACAACGAAGACGAGACAACTGGCCGCAACAGACGTCCCAAGACAACAGAAGGCCGCAGAGGGCCCGGGACGTTAAGAAGATATCTGGCAGCCAGGACCTTGTTCAATTTCCAAAAACCCCATGCCCATATATCGACCCTAGATACATTGCCAAAGACAGCAGCCAGAGCTGCATACTTCCTCACATCATGGGCATGAGGGGTAGAGTGCAGGCTGGCTAGACTTGAAAACCCTGCGGACAACCTGAGACACGCGTGCCCTGGAACAGGGAATTAGGGAAACCGGGTCCATCCGTAGCGCATCTACTGTTGCTGAACCAGTAGTGTACAGGTAACGCATTAAAGCTAGAACTGGACACAAAACATAGTGCACTCCCGGCCTAACTAACCAAGCATCAACAGCCCAAGGACCACTCTGGAAACCAGCCATCTCATTCTTCGCCAGAAAATAAGGAGAAGGCTGCAAATGAACAAAATCCCCAGGGCCAAAGGAGCAGAAACCCCTGCACAAACAAAAAGAATTGAAAAAATCCAGGACCGAAGGGGCCACCACAAACCAAGGAGAAGAGAAAAACGAGAGCAGCTAGTCCAAAGATCAAGAAGGGTCAAAGTGGCACATGAGCAGACCAGAGGTGAAAAATGCACGAGAGACCTTCCGGAACGAAGCGGAAGTGACATCCAACCCGAACACAAGCTGAAGTGGCTCTGCCAACACCACACAATAAGAAGCGACAGTATTCTGCAGGACATGCCGGTCCTGAAATAACCAAGAAAATAAGGACAAAACAACAGGAACAAAAACAGACAAAACCAACGAAGGGAAAGGAAATGGCGGAAAGACTGCCAGGAGACTTCATACTATCACTGAGAGGAAGATCACAGGTGGGATACCATCAATGATGACACCATACAAATGTCGATACACCCATGTCAGAAAACCCAGACACAAAGCGCAAAAGAGTAAGCCAAACCAGCGAGGTACCTCACCAGCCCGACCTGCTGAAAGAGGCAGAGCCACGGAAAAACCCACGGGTTCGTACACCATGCAAGCAGCATCTGAAACCAAGGCTGGGCTGGCCGCCATGGGGCCAGGAGAATCACTCTTCTCCTCATAAGATTCGAGTCGTGATAGAACCCGTAGCAACAGCTGGACCGGAGGATGAAGGTACAGGAACCCCCATCTCGACCAGTCTTGCCAGAAGGCATCCACCGTGAACGCCTTGCAGTCGGGGATCAGCGCCACATACATGGGAAGGCGCTTGGACCAAGCCAACGCGAAGGGCTACCTTCATGGGTCAGAACGTTTGAACATTCGACAAAGCCACAAGAAGGAGGTGGTGGCATCGACCGTCCACTCCATGGAATAGGGAATGAAGCGAGACAGGCCGTTTGCCAGGACATTGGACACACACTAAATGTGAACGGCACAGAGAGCTAACTCCATGAACACAGCAGAAAAGTTACACAAAGTGACCAGCCTCATAGAGCCACAGACAGCAGAGACCCTCCCCAGATGTGACAATAAATCACAAGAGGTAATGATTCAATCAACCACAGGAGAGCAGTTCGAATGGAGCCGAATCACTGAGCCCCGAGGCAACAGAATCTGCCATAGCGCTTGCCACACAGCTGCAAACTCCCGCACCATGCTGTGAGCACAACGGAAGGACCGAACCCAACGCCCCTGGCCAATCTAGTGAGCGCGGGTCACTAATCCCCAGCCGAAAAACTAGGCATCTATGAACACATCGAGCAAGGGAAGGTGAAGGCGCCAAGGCACCAAACCCCCCAAAAACGATAGAGGCAGCCAGAGACACAGCAACCGACACAAGGACCCTTGAGGTCGAACCCAACGATTGTGAGAGAGGCAAAAGGTGCTACCACAAAGATACCAGAACTGCCTCCAAAGTCAGACTCTGCCCAGTGAGAAAACCAGCAAGGCAAAGTTCAGGCTCCCGCACAGCTGCTCAAACAACCGCTGAGTGACCCGGGGCCCTCTCAAAAAACCAGCGTAGAATGTAGTGAAACGCCATTTTCTGGGCGAGACCTGGAGGCTCCTTGGAGCTTACTAGGCTGATATGAACAAATCCACAAGGGCTGTGACGCAGATTTGAACCTGCGTCCGAGAGAATCCTAGACGCTGCCTTAATCGACTGAGCTACGACATGGTCAACATTTGCCCTTGTGGATTTGTTCATTTGATGCATCACGCAATTGTGATTTCTGTGTACAAGCTAGGCTGATATACTAAAGTCAGACTTCGGCATCAGTCATGTGTATGGAGTTCTGTGGGCCTACCGGGGACCACGAGCCAAAACTTGGTCCCCTCAGAGAGGAATGGGGAGCAATGGCCTATAGAAACCTCTGTGTGGTTGGAAGCATTCTATGTCTGCCATCGACTGGGTCAGGCACTCATAAAGGTAAGCATCGCAAAACAAACCCCTATTCTAGTGAAAATATTGCTACCAAAAGTGAACAAGTGAATAGAACTCCCCTCAAAGAAACGAGTAAACGAGCATGAGTCACATGTCACCACATCGCTGTCTGCGCAGCTCCCCCCTCCCCGGGAGCGGGAAGAAGGAGCCCCAGACCCCCTACGCCGGCTATCCACCCATCAGTTCTGAAGCTGCATGTCAAAAACACGCGACAAACCACCACCCGGAGGGAGGGAGGGAGGGAGGGGAGGGATGGGAGGGATGCCGGAAAGCCTCCGGGTCTCACCTAGAAAATGGTGTTTCATTACATTCAATGCTGGTTTTCTGGGGATAAGCCCCTTCGGTTCTCCGGTGTTAAACTGCCCACAGAGGAAAAACAGAGGGACTTACCCAGTAGACAGTTGCTGCTCACTCCTCAACTCGAAGCCGAGACAACTAGTTGCAACCGCCGACCCAAAGCGACACAGGCCCGACAAGCCCCAGGAACGTTCACTAGGAAACGAGCAGCCAGGACCCTGTTCTACCACCAAAATCCTGAATGTCAGCCCATGACATGTTGCCAAAGATGGCAGCAAGAGCAGCGAACTTGCGAACATCATGGGCACGGGGACAGACCGCAGGCTGGCTAGCCTTAACTCTGCGAACAACCTGGGACCCGCGAACAAGGAAGAAGGGAAACCGGATCAACCCAAAGCACGTCCCCGGACACAGAAGCCATGCACGCAAATAACGGCGAAGAGCCGCAACGGGACAAAACATGATGCATCACCGGCCTGACCAACCAAGCATCAACAATCCAGGGACCCATCTGGAAAGCCGCAGTCTCATTCTTTACCAGAAAAGAAAGAGACGGCTGAAAACGAACAAAACCATCACAAAGACCGAAGGAGCAGAAACCCCTGTGCTGGAAGAGAGCATGAAGCTCCCCCAAACTGACCCCCAGAGGCCAATGCCAATAGAAAAAGAGCCTTGGAGAAACAATCCTGAACCAAAGGGGCCATAACAAACTGAGGAGAATTAAGAAAAGAGAGCACTCTGTCCAAAGACCAGGATGGCTCAGGCAGTGCATGAGCAGGCTAGAGGTGAAAGAATGCATGAGACAGCTTGTGAAACTGTGCAGAATTAACATCAATGCCGAAAGCAAGCTGAAGCGGCTCCACCAACGCCGCACGATACGAGGCGATTGTGTTAGGCATAAGGTGACAGTCCTGGAACAACCAAGAGAGAAAAGACAACACCGCCCTAACACAAAGCGAAGTATAACGACGAAGATGCAAGAAGAAATGGAAGGACCGCCAGGAAACTACATACTGCCGCCGAGACGAAGCCCGCAGGTGGGATACTAACAAGGAAGCCACCTGATCACCATAGAGATGATGATAAACTCGAGTCAAAATTACCATATGTGAAGACTCGAAGAGAAGATCGAACCAGCCACGTGACGTTCCGGTCTGGTCTGCTGGAAGAGGCGGAGCCACGGGAAAACCTCCGGGTTCGGACACCGGGCAAGCAGCGCCTGAA